CGAAGATGAGTTTATGCAGTTTTTCAACTCACTCGGAGACCACTTCATAGCAGCAGGAGACTACAATGCCAAGCACACACACTGGGGATCTCGTCTCGTGGCCCCAAAAGGAAAGCAGCTCTATAATGCAATTATCAAAGCTAACAACAAGCTAGACTATGTTTCTTCTGGCATTCCAACATACTGGCCGGCAGACCCAAAGAAACTTCCCGATTTAATAGACTTTGCGATTACCAAAAACATTCCTAAAAATATGATAAGCGCCGAATGCCTTTCGGATCTTTCATCTGACCACTCGCCTGTCCTCTTTACTCTACTCCGACACCCAGGAACATGGGATCACTCATCAAAACTGACCTCACATAAAACCAATTGGGTTAAGTACAGGAAGTATATCGGCTCACACATTAAGCTGAGTCCTCACCTCAGCGACGAAGCCATCGTAGACAGTTTTGTTAATCAACTGGAGTCTGTACTCGTCTCTGCAGCTCGAGTTTCAACACCTCAAACTACAAACACACAATACATTCAAAAGAAGACAAATCTACAAATCGAACAGCTCGTCCTTGAAAAGCGAAGCTTACGTCGAGAATGGCAATGTCACAGATCGCCATCTGCTTAGCAACGCTTAAAACATGCCTCACGTCAACTTGATCAAGCTCTACAGCAAGAAGAAACGTATGTCCACCGCCGCTACATAGAGCAATTGTAAACTAACAGTACAAAACACTCACTATGGAGAGCTCACCCAACTATGAGCTCACCGAAAGAAACCGTGATGCCAATTAGAAATTCCACAGGCGGGTGGGCGCGCAGCGATGCCAAACACCTCAAAAATGTCTTCCAACCAAATCCTGCCACCAATGCGTTTACTTTGCCGACTCTATCATATGAACCCCAGCCTCAACACGAGCCAATCGAGTTTCGCCCAAACGAAATCGTTAACATCATCAAAAGACAACTGAATCCGAAAAAATCCCCGGGCTGCGACCTCATAACTCCCAAAATGATCATTGAGCTCCCATACTGCGCCGTTTGCACTCTCACCCAGCTATTTAATGCCATCGCAAAACTTGGCCACTTTCCAGTGAGATGGAAAAAGTCAATTATAATAATGATAGCAAAACCGGGGAAAGACCACACTATCCCCACGTCGTATAGACCTATAAGCCTACTATCTTGCCTATCCAAACTCTTTGAAAAATGCCTAATGACTCGGATAAACACATACCTGAGAATCCAGGAAGGAATCCCGTCACACCAATTTGGGTTTCGTGAAAAGCATGGAACAATTGAGCAGGTCAACCGGATAACATCCGAAATTCGGAACGCGTTCGAAAAACGGGAGTACTGTACTGCCATATTTTTAGATGTCTCTCAAGCATTTGATAGAGTCTGGCTAGAAGGTCTAATGTACAAGATCAAGACAATGCTCCCCTACAGCACCCACAAGATTTTAGAGTCTTACCTTTACGACAGAAAATTTGTCGTGAGGTGCAACACTGCTATATCTGACGATTACACCGTTGGAGCTGGAGTTTCTCAAGGTAGCGTGCTAGGACCAATTTTATATGTCCTGTACACAGCAGCCATCCCGACAAGCACACGTCTAACTACATCTACGTTTGCCGATGACACAGCTATTCTTAGCCGCTCAAAATGCCCGATTCAAGCAACTGCGCAGCTAGCCCTTCATATGGTCGATGTTGAAAAATGGCTGTCAGATTGGCGAATTAATGTGAACGAACTAAAATGCAAGCACGTTACGTTCACTCTGAACAGGCAAAACTGCCCGCCGATTACATTAAACAAGACCTACTCCCACAAGCAAACGAAGTAACATACCTAGGAGTACATCTCGACAGAAGACTCACATGGCGCCGGCACATTGAAGCCAAAAGAACACACCTTAAGCTAAAAGCCAGCAGCCTTCATTGGCTTATCAACGCTCGGTCATCTCTTAGCCTTGAATATAAAGTCCTGATGTACAACTCGGTCCTAAAACCTATATGGATGTACGGCTCCCAGTTATGGGGGAACGCCAGCAATAGCAACATTGACATAATTTAAAGAGTTCAGTCGAAGATCTTGAGAACAATCACCGGGGCACCGTGGTTCGTTCGCAACGAAAACATACACCGCGACTTAAACATTCTACCAGTCAAATAAGTGATCGCTGAACAGAAGGTAAAGTACTTAACCAAGCTATCGGTGCACCCTAACCACCTGGCGAGAGGTCTAACAAAGTTGAGCAACCAATCACGCCTTCGTCGCAATTATTTACCCACCCAGCGACCGACCTGAGGGACGCGCAACCAGAATGCAGTCTGAGTATACTGTTAGTTACATTTTAATGTTAAGATTCGCCAACTTATTGTTAGTCTCAAAATTAAGAGTAGATTCAATAAATAAAAGCAAAGCTATAAAAAAAAAAAATAAAAAAATAAAGTTGCCTTCCCTTGGGAGTAACGAGGCGTGATCCCCAGTGCGTATGCATGGCGTTGCAGCTATGAAGCGATCCCCAAGTGAATTGTAGAAATCTATGAATTGACCTTCAGAGATTGTAAGGCGAGGTGGGCAGTAGACAGCGGCGATGCAAAGGTCGTCGTTTCCTGACTGCACTTTTATGGACGTGGCTTGCAAGTAATTTGTTGCAAACCTAAAATGCCGGTGCCGCCGTGGCTTTGCCATCGGGATGATCTGTGCGGTAGAAGATATAACCCCGTATATGGAAGTTATATCTGCTTATGAGGTGCGTTGCAACCAGCATCATGGCGTCGATGTGATTTACATTCAGGAAATGTGTTATTTCAAGTTTATGCCGTGAAATGCCTTTGGCATTCAACATGGATATGGATAGATTGGTCATTGATTATTTGAACTGAAGACTGACCGAAGTGCGCAGTATGTCCTGGTGTGCCCAAACTTTTGACAATTTGTGCATTGCACTGGGCCGTTCCGTTTGTGTGGTTCTTCCACTGTGATCCTCCGGTGCAGTAAGAACTGTAGCTTGTAGATCGGGTGCACTTCATTTTTCTTTAGTGTTTTGCCATCTGGCTCGAGCTCGACCTTAAAGAGTGGTTGCGGCTTTTTATTTTTGTTGATAATGTTGCTAACATTCTTAGCAGAGAATCCCTTGTCTTTAAGGGCTTCTAGTATCTCAGAGGGGGCGACGTCGGGTTCGATTCCTTTTAGTACTACTTGTAGCCCTTTATTGCTTTTAGTTGGTAGGTGTAAAGTTATTTTTTTTCCCTCCAGGTAATTCGATACAGCTCGGAATTGTTATGTATATTTGGTTTGAACTTTAATTTCGTGGATGTTCCCTTCAATAAGCGGAACAACATGAAAATTTTCATCCCCGACCAGCGCAACAATTTTGTTGACTAGGGCGTTTGAGCTTTTTTCATTAATATAAATAGGTGGGGGCTTTAGTTTCATTTGGGTCACCTGCTCCGGCTTAGCTTGGCTCTCACCATCTGCTATGAGGGAAAATCTGTTGCCGTTGTTGGAAATCCAGGTTTTTCCTTTGGTTTGGTTTGTACGATTAATTTTTGGTTTGTTACCAACCGTGTTTTGCGGACTAAGCTTACGCTTTATCTGGATGCAGCGATCCATACAGATCTGTACGGCCGGAACCGCTTGTTGTAGTTGTCGAAATATAAAGAAAATACAGTTTCGATGATATTTCGTTTTTCAAAATATATCAAATCGATCAAATATTTATCACCCAAAAAATATCGAGATATACGAATGCTTGATATTTTTTTTTACTAACCAACATTCAACATCAAAATAAATTGTTTTGTGGTTTAAAGAACACTTGTTGTGTGACGTGAAGGTCAGAATGGGGCCTCTGGTGCAACAAGCCACATACATTGTATTTAATTGCTGAGGCAACCCTATCTGATAGCACTACCGTGGAGGTTTCAGCTTAAATAACCCTAGCAAAGTCTCTGTTTGAGAAATCCATAATGATATTCCTGTTTTTTATGTTTGATGAGTTGCCGTTTTAACAATTCTACTGCAAATGCTACAAGTTACCTTGTAATTTTTGATTTCAAAAAAATAATTCCATTCTGCGCTCATCTTCTTTGTTTCCGGTTGTTCAGATCAGAGTAACCAATTAGGAAAAATAAAATATATACCTACATATATATAACATAAAATATAAAAAAGAGAGATTTGATATTTTTTTATTATATATAGTTTTCAAAACCATGCTTGAGTCGAGTTTACCGTTTCAGACAGAGCAGGTATATGTTAGTCGCTTTGTTTGGCGTGTACACTGGAACGTCAATTGAGAAGTCAAATGTTACTTACACAAAGTTAATATTGCAATTCACAAATTTGTTAATAACCATATATAATATAATATTGTTCCCTGCACCAAATAATTTTTTTTCAGCCCAAACATACACAACACAAGAAATTACACACAAAACTCTCGTTGCTTTATGACAGTGCAAACCACAATATGCCGGGCGATATTCTTGGCTGGGCAAATACGCGCATACGAGTTCCACTTTGTTGTACTCATCGTAGTATAAACATTTTAAGTTTATACCAAAAAAAAGGTGCAAAAAGGTCACTTTCCGCCAACTGATTTCAAAGTTTTATAAAAAAAAACGCGTTCTATTTTATACCAATAAGTTTAATCTACATGGTCTTTAAAAATTTTAGTTTGACAACTTTTGCCATAGAATATGCTCCAAACAGATATGTTTGTATATTTAGTTGTATTTGTTTATTAGTGCAAATAATCTACGTCGGCCACAACCAAAGATAAACCGAAATTACTGCTAAAAATAATTAAAGATCCGAATTTTTTCCAAAAATCATTTGTTTGCTTGGCTTTGGCTTGCAAGTCACGCTCTTTTGATTGGTTTTTACCTTTTTAATTAAGATCTTTATTTAAATTTTTTTACACTTTACACTTCCCTTATGCGTTTTATTAATGAACAACTATTATTTTAACAGCGGGGAATATTGTATAGACTTACAATTTGTAAAAAATGGCATTCCTTACAGATTTATATTTGGATTTTAAGCTTATTGCTATATTCCTTCCACAGACAATGGGTCCTTTAAATTCTGATTCATTAGTCTCCATCTGTAAAGTCTGTTTTAAACATCATTTAATATAAATAATAAAATCTATTCATACCAAAATAAGTTTTATTATAGATGCATAATCTTTGAGTTCAGGATCGATATCCAAAATTTCATCGTTTAGGACAAAATGTTCTTTCAAATAGTAGATCGCCGAAGCATCATCGCTTTTCAACATTCCGCTAAATTGATTTTCAATTTTATTTGCAGATTTAAAAAAAAACAGCTTTTCGTTTAAAAAGTAACATTTTAAATATTTTTGTTTTAGGAGCCTTGTGTTGTGGAATAAATCTGCTAGTCTGGGCAAAGTAAAACTTTTTAGCCTGACGTTCTGCATAATCATAGGCCTACAAATTTCCTTAGAAAGTGTGGGGCGATTGCTAGCAGCTTGAAATCGTTGACTAAAGACAGCACTAAAAATAGACTTGTTTTTTTCCACTGATATGGGATGAAGTACAGCTCTTATTTGGCTATGAATTTCAATGAAACCCACTAGCCGAAAATTTAAAATAGGCAGACGTTCGTTCATTAATTTTCTTATTACCAAAATCGCTCGAAATTCTTCGGTGATCAACACATTTGTTGGCAACAGGTACACAAAGAGATGATTTTCATAGAATGTAAATAGCTTCCAATATGTACAGCGCAATAAGAGCCGTTTGTCGACAATTACAAAGTTAAGTACAGCACATATGCAACCTGGAAAAAAGTCTATTTTTTGATCGGGCTGCAGCAACACAGCACCACTGCTCCAGCTAGGTAGGTGGCTATGGAATTCTAGTGAGGTCTTAATACCCGCACCGTATCTGTAGCTGTTTTCACTCAATGAAATCAGCTGCTTATCCTCACATTCGTGGTGCACGTTTTGTAGAAGCTTAGCTGGCAGCTGTTTGTAGATTTGCAAGGCTTGGGAGTTGCGCCGCAAACGCTTAATGACTGCAGGTGATACGTTTGACAACTGACCAGCTGTGTTTTTTTTGGAAACTGGAAAGGTGATGCGGTAAAAAATGTTGTTTGCGCTTAGACAAAGTAGCTCTTCTCTGTGCTCTAGCCAAATGCAGCTCTGAATGCCCGGTATTGGCTTTCTTAAGGTATGGACAAAACACTCGTCAAGCTCTTTGTTGTACTTAAACTTCAGTCGCACTATGTGAGTGCCGTCCGTATAGTAAAAGTTGCCGAAATTCGTGACATCATAGTCCAGCCATTCCGACCCCGTGTAATGAATCTGGCGCTGTTTAATTGCCAGAAGAGAAGACACATACCACAATTCCACACTTCCATTGCTAAGGAAAACCAAGCAAAGGTTCTCATCTGGCAGGAGTCGAATTAATCTTACATGAGCTGCGCACATGCATAAAAGCTCGATGTGGTAGTCTTCACCCGAACTTTTTGATCCATGTTTAAAACTAGATGACAAAGAAAACACATGCCCTCCTATGCTAAAGATGTGGACATAATGCTGTGTAACCCTGTTGGCCCCGAAAAGGCTCTGAGCAAACATTTGTTCCTTTGCAGATAGTAAGGTGGTGAGCGTGTACGCATCATTCTGCCAATTACCCTGAAATATATTTTGTTCGTCGCAAGAAATATCAAATGTGTGCCGCAATGTGCTCTTGGCCTGTTTTAAATCTGGGAGGTCCAGATACGTCTGTAAAAACAGACGTTGCTTCTCCTCTCGAATCACGCTAAATCCTTCATCAGTAGTCGCTAAACAGCGTACTCCGCTAAGCCACGTAATTAAATGCAGGGCCTTGAAAGAGCCATAACAGTAGACCTCCCCATCCGACATAAGTACTAAAGTGTTGTACTTTAAAGTATGGACGCTCCTAAGATAGCTTATTCCTCTCTTAGGGAGTGGGATTCGCACAGCAGTCATTTTTACCCAAAGGCTATCTTTCTGTTTCTTTACACAAAAGTTTTGCAAATAATTCTCATTCCATGTGATAAAAACTGTCTTTTTGTGATGGTTCGCTGCCAAAACAAGTCCACATGAATGCAAAAGGTAGTCATCCTTAATAAGCCAATGTTTATGACAGAAACCGTCGTCCTGGTAAAAGGGTCCCATTGCCAAAGTTCGATTTTGATGGAAGCACACGAACTAGATCTGGAACAAGCATCAAAGTTTTATCAATACACAAGAATTCCAAAACTAAAAACTTCCATGTTTACATTTTATTTTATTTTTGTTTTTGTCTGTGTTTTCCATGGACAAGTATCGATAGTTTGCATAGCACGGCAACGAGTTGTATACAACGTGTAATACAGCCTTTCCACATACCGACATCAAAAAGTTGATGCGTAGAAAGCAAAGAAAAACCGAGTTTTTTAAAATACCCCGAAATAACTAACCCATCACCATTCTCTCAATTAGCTTGGTTCGATAAATTAAATTATTAAACAAATTAAATTATTGCGAAGTTTTCCGAGATAGAAAACAACAACGCGTGGAATATACTAATGTGGGATATACTAACTGGGACTAGGGTTTCAATAATGAAGTCCAAAATAGCAGGATATGCTTCATAAAATTGGCAAAACAAGTCTCGCTTGGTTAAAATAAAATGAAACCAGCAGAAGTCTTCAAATGGAAAAGTATTTGTATTTGTATTCAAAAAATTCGATTTCTAAGCCGCTGCGAGAGTTTACGGTATTTTCTTTGTCTATCCGAGTACAGGACCACGGCATCTCCGAAATGTGTGGATCATAGCTGGCGTTCTAGGAACAAAGAAGTAAGATTGACGAGATACGAACGGTGGATAGAGGAGGTGAGGTAAAAAACTCCTCACCATCGGAAATCGTTAACCACCCTTTAGCCCATTAAGACTATTTTCCCTTCTGTTAAATTTTTGGCTCGGAATTTACTTGTACCCATTCTGTAAGATTAAAGCCTTGCCTTGAGTCCTGAGGAACAACTATACAGCTCATTTGAGATATATTGTTCTGACCTTTGTTTTATCTATCTAAATGCTGCGATAAAAAACGTCGTCCACGAAATGTTTCCCCCAACCTATGGATTTGCCTCCTTTTCTCTTATGGCTGGCGCTTGTAATTTTTGTCGATATGACTACTAGGCGATTATTGTTTGTTGGTGCCTGTACATACATATGTATATATATGTATTACCGAAACGCAGCGAGGAATAGGAAGTTTATAAACATGTGACATTTTTTAAAGTTTTTTCTGTAGGATGTATGCGCTTGCGTTTAATAATAATAAATCAAAATTCAAAATATTTAAAAACAAAACATGGTTTATGATCGCGGATTAAATATGTCACAAGCATCAACGTAATAGCTTAGTTACACTGTATCCTGTTACCTATCGAGTTAGCCATTAGCCCCGTACTCCAAAAAAGCGTTACAGTACATTAACTCTATTGTTTCTCTATTATTTCAGGTTTTTTTTGTACACAATCAATCAAAGTTCTCTTCCTCTTAGATAAATTAACATAAATACGGACTTAACTTATAATATTTTGTTGGGGTATGAGCAGTTAAAAAAAGTGACTGTTTTAACAAGGGGCCGTTCAAGTATTACGTAAACCCTATGTGGGGGCGGGGGGTTCTATGTATTCCCCATTTTGGATGACACGGGGGGTAGGGGGAGTCTAGATGATGATTACGTCATCGGAAGTGAAATTACTTTTTTACACGAATGGCATATTAATTTAATCTTTGAAGAACTTTAACATCAAAAGAGTATATATATATAAGAGTATATATATAATAAAAATTGAATAATAATTGAAATAAATCTGCTTACGTAATATTTGAACGGCGCCCAAGAGCAGCTTAACATTTTTATGAGTCTGTGTAATCTGCAACTCTAGAACACTTAACAACTGATTTTATTTACTAAGCCGACGTCGCCGCCGTTTTTGGAAGAAATTAATCAATTTTACATTCCCTTGTTAATATTAATAAAAAATCTGTTAATCTGTTAAATGTTAAGAAATCATTTTAATAGATTAACAGATTTTTTATTTCTATTCAAACAAGACTGCTCATACCATTGGCTGTTATGCAATAAATCTAAGGCGATCATATCACTCTAAGGAAAGAGCGATACATAAATCGTACACTAATATTTGCTTAGAAGTTGTTGTTTCTGCGCTGTGTACACTGACGAAAGAGGAAACACACGTTTTCACAACACAACCGAAAAATGTAAAAATAAAATAAAAAATAATTTATGTACTATTATATTTATTTATTAGTACACACAAACAAAATTCTGATTTGGTCATTCAAGCATGCCTAACAGAATCACAATTTCTTGAAAGCTCTAACCTTAAGTGGAAAATGCAAAAACAAAATTGACATATTCAGGCAGGCTCCGGTTTTCACTTTCATAAGATTCTCTCGTTTTCGTTTTCGAAAACGAGAATCGGTGCTCCCGTTTTCACTTTCACAAGACTTTTTCGTTTTCAAAAACGGGCAAGATTTTGTTGTCGAAATGAAAAGTAAATGCCTTTTTCTACGTGAAATCGGTTCTTAATTGCAAAAGGAAAAAAATAGTTGACTCCTTGGTCTATTGATGTTCATTTCCCACCATCATTAGATCAATCTAATTCGTATTTGTTTTATAAATAATTTTTTTCTGACCCCATCATGATTTGATAAGTAAATTATTTGCCGTCGGCAACAACAATTTTCGTTTTGCTAAGGGGCCGATAAATCTATTGCCAAAAGTTATCGTCAATGCTGCCGTACTTGTAGTGGAACAAAACAACCACTTAAAAATAATTATAAAATGAAAACAAAGAAAAAAATATTTTTAAAGAAAAGTAAAATAAGCTTTTTATAAATAAATATGGATAATTTAGTTTCTTAAATGATAAAAGTGCAGAGAAAAAGTTGTTGAGAATAGTGGAATGAAAACTGCAAAAAAGGTGGCAGTCTCTTACTGTGGGAAACAGCTGATTTCTGATGGGGGCTAATTTGATCTTTTGAAAATGTAAGTAAGACAACTTAATTCACCGATCGTCAGACATATTAATAACACATGTGTTGCATCTAAGATGTCTCGATTTTCTTAAATCAATCAATTTCTGCCTGCTTTTGGCTTCAAAACAGGCAATTGAAAATATAAAAGGCATTTTTTCGCGTTGTTTACTTTTGACCAAAAAAAGTCAGCTGTTTGAACCATTCCGATAACGAAACGATGACAAAAAGTTTGTGAAAACCGGAGCACCTAAAACGAAAACGTACGTTTTCGCCCAAAAACGAAAACGAGAAAAAAAAGTGAAAACCGGAGCCTGCCTGATTATGTTATACTTCATTTTAAACAAAATAAGAGGTTTATTGTGCTACTGACTAGTCGAGATTAATTTAGTTCGAAAGGGGAAAACATAAACTAAGTTCGAAAGGGCAAAACAAAAAGGTTGTTTGTTGGATTACAGTATTTCTAAAAAAATAATAAATTATATTGGCTTAGCTTTGTTTCGATAAACAAATTTTTGTTGAGTGTCATCTCTATAGGAGCCATCTTTCTTTCTATTCGCAGCTCGTCGACCGCGTGGACGTCACAACGGTAGAGGTTAGTAAATATTTTACCCACTGCAACCAGATATAAAGAGAAATCTTACTATAGTGTTGTTACTTTTTTTTAGTGAACTGAACCAAAAATGACCAACTCGAAGGGATATCGCCGTGGTACAAGGGATATGTTCTCCCGTCCCTTCCGCAAGCATGGTGTTATTCCATTATCTACTTACATGCGCGTCTTCAAGATTGGTGACATAGTGGATATCAAAGGACATGGTGCCGTGCAGAAGGGTCTACCATATAAGGCTTACCATGGCAAAACTGGGCGAATTTTCAATGTTACACAGCACGCTGTTGGTGTAATTGTCAACAAACGTGTGCGCGGTAAAATCCTAGCTAAGCGTGTCAATGTGCGCATTGAGCACATCCATCACTCAAAGTGTCGTGAGGATTTCCTACGCCGCGTAAAAGAAAACGAGCGTCTGCTGAAGGAGGCCAAGGAAAAGGACAATGGGTCAGCCTTAAACGCCAGCCCGAGCAACCAAAAAAGTCGCACTTTGTTAAGAAGCTGGAAGAGCCGATCTCTTTGGCTCCAATTCCATACGAGTTCATTGCCTGAGCGAGTTTCTGTGTTTGTTTTGATATTATGTAGTGTGGTTGGTTCAGCTGTAAATGAATTGATTTTCTATATAATACCTATAAACAATTATTTATGACCTTTTTTTTGGATTGTGGGAATCTAAGTGTTTTTGATTCTTGTCTTGTTAATTGGACATGATATGCTCGTTCTTTAAAAGTCAAAAAATAAGCAGAAAATATGCCTTATTTAGACATTTATCAAAAATTGAAAAAAAAAACAATTCTTACTAAAATTGTTTATTTAAGTTGTATTCATTTTGTTTAATTTTAATAACTGCAAAAACAAATTCATTTCTTTAAAAACTAAATTATTTTTGAGAACAACCATAATAACAATACTGGTTGGAATTATAATTTTCACAAATTTCAGATAAACATATATTTGTTTACCATTGCAGTGAGTAATTCAAAGATTCAAAGAATCGTGCTTGTATAATGAAATGGGGGAGATTTTAGTTTCCGGGGCGCCAAGATTTGAGGACATATTTTGGGTAATTGGCCCAAAATAAACACTTTTTAATAAATACAATTTTTCGATTTCTCGCACCGTTTAAGAGATATCGAGCCCTAAATTTCGGATTATTGTGAGGGCTGGGAGCAGGCGAAATTACTTATTGCACATATTTTTCGTGGAACTTTCAAGATTTGCGGTACTTTCGGTCGAAGACGAACACTTAAATTTATTTGTTCAGTTTTTAGTTTAGTTTTTTTTTTATAACAATTGCCTCAAAAAAATAATATAGCATATGTATCAATGCATAAGTGCGCGCGCACTTTTCAGTTTTTAGCATAGTTTTTTTTATAACAATTACCTCAAAAAATAAAAATAAGTGCGCGCGCACTTATGCATTGATACATATGCTATATTTATTTTTGGGATAATTTCTTAAAAAAAATTTTTTCCCAGTGTAACGGCCGCACTATAAGCCGATATTTAAGGCTCGTTATCTCGGAAACGGTGCGAGATATCAAAAAATGTTGTTTAGTAAAAAGTAATTATTTTGGGCCAATTGCCCAAAATATGTCCTCAAATCTTGGCGCCCCGGAAACTAAAATCGTGCCATGAAATGCAACATGATACATTTGTCCGATTTTTTTTTTAAATTTTTTGGTAAATGACAGTGGCGTAGCGTGGCTTGTCGGGGCACCGTATAAAAATTTTTTTGGAAACCCTTATATGGAGGTAAAGATTTTTTTCAAAAGAAAAAAAAAATTGTGAGAAGAAATATTTATTTATCACATTATTTACCCATTTTACTAATAACAAGAAAGAAAGCTAGCTTCGGCAAGCCGAAGCTTATATACCCTTGCAGTCATCAAATATGTCGAACAAAATACATAAATGCTAAACAACATCGAAGCTAAGACGATTTTTCTATTCATTTTCCATATTTTCGACTATATCTTATGGGAGCTGTATGATATAGTTTTCCGATTTTGATCAAATTTAATTCTTAATTCAAGAGTCGTTAGAAAACTTTATAATCCAAAAATCATGCTTATCTGATAAAAAACAACGATATTATAATTTTATTTCCGTTATTTTTATATAGATTTTTCGATCTTTTGTATGGCAGCTATAAGATATAGTTGTCTGATTTTTATTTTTTTCTCAATATAAGGGTTGTTAAAAAACTAGATATTCAAAAAATCATGCTCGCGGGATAAAAAACAACGATGTTATCAATTTATTTCCATTAATTCTATATATTTTTTTCGATCTCTCCTATGGCAGCTATATGATAGAGTTATCCGATTTTGATCAAATTTAATCCGAAATGCAATAACAGTTTGAAGAAATTAAGCCGATCTGATCAAAAACAACGGCGTGAGAATTTTTTATTTCATTCTCTTGTATTGGAGCTATCCGATATAGTCGGCCGATCCGGCCCGTTCCGACTTATATACTGCGTGCAACAACTACACACCTTTTGGGAAAGTTTCGGCAAGATGGCTTTAAAACTGAGAGACTATTTTGTAGAGAAACAGACAGACGGACAGACGTACAGACGTATTCCGATTCTGCTCGTGATGCTGATAAAGAAAATATATACTTTATGGGGTCTGAGGTGTCTCCTTCACTGCGTTGCAAACTTCTGACTGAAGTTATAATACCCTTTGCTCTGCAAGGGTATAAAAACAACGCGTCAATATTTTTTCGTTCTATTCTATGAGAGCTGGGGGATCGCCAAACGAAAACGGAAGTGGTCGGTGATTCGTCCTAAACAGTGGCCAAGCCAGGATGGACGGCCGGGAAGGTCGTGCTGTGTGTTTATGATTGAAAGGGAATCAGCCACTATGAGCGCTGCTCCCATATGGCCAGACTCTTCATTCTACCTTCTACTGCGAACAGTTCGACCGCTATATTTGAAGCAGGCGATCGACCAAAAGCGTCCAGAATTGGCCAACAGGAAGTGTTCCACCAGGACACCACCATATATCCCGGACATTGCGCCAAGGTGCATGTGCATGTCGAACGCCCTTGGTGGTGCAAAGTATTTTGGCAACCTTAAATAAAAATAAGTTGCTTTAACATATAAATTTAATATAAAAATAAGTTTATTCAATTTTTATGATTTTTGTTGACGCTGTATTTTACCCAAGTCAGTGCGTGAGCCCTCTCCTTATCTATAGGCAGTTGCTGGGGCTAGCCGAACTGCGCGAAAAAAATCATTAAATTAAACTGAAAAATAAACTTATTTTATATATCTATATATATAAAAGCAAGTTGTGTTAGTTACACCACTTATAACTTAAGAACGGCTGAACAGATTTGGCTGAAAATTGGTAGGAAGGTAGCTTAGAGCCCGGAATAGGACTTAGGGTACTTTTTATTCCGTTCGACATACCAAAAATCGCATATAAACTGAGTTATTACCTCATCACACTGACAAGCACACACTACCATAGCATTTTAACTCAATTTTTTTGAAGTGAATTGAAATTATTTGTGATTTTGGTGATTTGAAGTGAAGTGAAGTTTTTCGTGGTTTTAGTGAATTGAAGTGAAGTGAAGTTTAATTAATAATGCCGCAACCAAGACGATCGAATCTTTCCCGACAAAGCCGTAATTCAAGAAGACTACAAAGTACTGTAAATGAAAGGACTGAAGGGGAACAAAACATTGCACGTGAACAGCGCCGCGTTTGTATGGGTCGACTTCGTGCTTCTCAATAAGAAGAACAAAGTGAGGCAACCCGTACCACGGCTCGGTTGACAATGCAGAATCGTCGAGCTTACAACAGAGGTCAAAAATAGATAATTTGCGACGCAAAAGATATTTATCAATTGCTGATTTGAATTGAGCAGTGTTTCAATACGATTGCATCACTGATTACAGCTTACATCCCAGCGTTTGCATTGGGCAAATGGACGTTGTTTGCAAGTATTGCGGTGCGTTGAAGTTTTACGGAGAAACGCCTGGATTATGCTGCTTTAATGGTAAAGTGAAATTGCCATTGTTGACTCCGCCACCTGAGCCATTGTATTCACTGCTTTGTGGTGAAACACAAGAATCACGCCACTTTCCTGCAAATACTCGAAAATACAATGGTTGTTTCCAAATGACGTTATTTGGGGCAGATTTTATTGAAGAACGAGGTTTAATCCGACATTTAAGGTTTTTTTTTTGGTATTACATAGAATTTAGTTAAAGAATAACTTACTTTATCTTAAAGGCAAGGGCAGATTCACCATCGAATTGGATCATTACTACCTTTCGAAGATACACAAAAAAATTTTTACAAATATATTTCATGGGCAACATGGAAGAACAATTTGATCGACGTCTAGCGATCAATGAAGGGATGAAGCGAGCAATTCTTCAAGACTTGCAGTGTCTGTGTTCATGAACATCATGCGATGGTCAGGTTGTTTAAGAGTGCTTTAGAGCGCATGCCAAATGATGACTATAAAGTTGTCATAAAAGCAGATAAACGACCATCTGGAACACATGAAAGGACAGTTAATGCTCCAACAATAGACGAAGTCGCCATCCTGATTGTGAACAATTTGGAAACCGAGATATTATGCTCAAACGACGCGATACTGGGCAGAAATCACGACATTGAGATGAATGAGGTACATAATCGGGTTTTACTCTTGATCGAAGATATGTGTTACCTCATGTGCGGTAATTTATTAATCAGGTTAAAATGCCAGCGCCAAATCGTGAAATGAATGAGGCATTTAATCGAGAATTAGAACGAGAACGTGAATATGATCACCAGGAATTAAATTTATTAGTTCAACAGAAGAAAGTTTATGATATTTTAAAGAAGGCAATCGATAAAGAAAATTGTGGTTTATATTTCCTAGATGCCCCTGGTGGAACTGGCAAGACATTCCTCATGTCATTAGCTTTAGCAACTGTTCGGGCTAGATCCAACATAGCTGTTGCAGTTGCTTCTTCGGGAATAGCAGCCATATTGTTAGAAGGATGCCAAACGGCTCATTCAGCATTAAAATTACCGTTAAATCTTTAAATTATTGAAGAACCAACGTGTAATATTGCAAAACACTCAGCAATGGCCAAAGTTTTAATGGTATCGAAATAAAATTTTTCCTTTTCATATATAAAACAAAAAAAAATTTTTTATCTTTTAAACACCAAACGAAATTTTACATAAAACTATCGCCATCTGGTGGTGGAACGGAGTTCGCCGGGTTTACTAGTAATATAATATAATACAAAAATAAATATAGGTAATATAAAAAATAAATAAATAATATAATATAAAAAAAAAAACTAATATAATGTAATAATATACAAATTTTGATGTTTTTTTTTATCGTAATCGGCTTGTCGCGCTTCGGACATTAATTTTTTATGTGCAAAATGGGTTTTTTAGGCAATTCGGATGTTTTTTTTTTTTATCGTAATCGGTTTTTTGCACAATTCGGTAACGCCATTTGCCATTTGCTCGTTCGAAGATCCGATGGATCAAAAAATAATTTAGACTGAAAAAAATACGAACCATTTACACAAGAGTACACATTTGTGAGTGACAAGCCTCTTTTGCCATTTAACCCGTTTTTGTTAACGGCGCAGGTAACTTTGTTTTTCTTTAT